TACAGTTTCAAAGAATGATTCTATTAAGTATTTATCCTTATTAATCAAACTGAAAAATATGTTATGAAACTGTAAAATTTTACAGTTTCAAAACATGATTTATTTCAGTACAAAAAAAATTGAAACTGTAAAATTTTACAATTTTCACCGCCTATAACTAAAACTCGAAACAACTTGTTCAGAACTTGAAAATTTTCTCCATTAAAATAGGAAAATAAAAGTATATCGTAGAGAAAAAATAAAAAACTGAGAGTTTGAAGAAAAGATACTTATATAGAGAGATGAATGGATTTCAATAACTATTTTTTATTTAGATCTAGTCGGATCTGACATAAATCTACTCAGATCTGATGTATCTAAGTAAATCTACATCAAATTTTAGAGTAAATTTACTCATTTTTTTCGCCAGGAACCTATCTCTTTCGTTGTCAATGAGCACAAAGTAAGGAATTGGTGCTCGGTGGTTGCTAGTGAACCTCAATTAATGGTGGTCACAGATCGCCAATGACTGCAAATTAGAAAGAAAAAGAAAAGAAGAAATGCATGGTTGTAGTTGTCGCTAGATATCAGAAAAAGAGAGATAGAGAGAACAAGTAAGGTGTAGAGAAAAATGAGAAGAAAAATGTGCACAGAACTTTTGGAAGATTTGGGGTGGCGGTTGTGCAAAGGTGTACAACAACCACTGTTGTGCAGCGCAATGGTCTCATTTCATGACTCATTTTGATAATTTGAGCCATTTATATTTTATTATATATCAAGTACAACATACCTGTAAAAAATCAAGTTTATCAGATATCGTTTGTCCTTTCATTCACTCACATTTGTATTCATTTTAATACTTTAAATCACAATTGTTATTTATTTTTGTAGATACAAATGAGAGTAGATGAATGGGTAAACGATATCCGATTAACTTGAATTTTTTACAGGTATATTCTACTTAATGTATTCTACAATATGAACAGTTCGAATTATCGAAACAGGCCCTGAAATGGGTCCACTGAGCTACACAACAGTGATTGTTACGCATCCCACACAACAGCCACTTCAAATCCACTTTTGGATCTATCCAAAAAAAAATTGAAATTAAATAAAAGACACTTTTCAAAAAGAACTTATGAATAACTTGTCCTTATAAGAAATAGCATATTAGTATGAAATTTAACACTATTTACAAAATATAATTTTCATTGGCTTGACACTTTGGGTGATCACTATTCAGTAAACTTGGTACTTCCATTCAAAGATAAATTAATAATAATAATACAAAAGAAGAAAAACTTAATTCTTTTAAGTACAACTTGGAAAACAATTCTTTGAAAATAATCAGCACGTTTAGTTCTAATTTTTTGAATTTAATTTTTTAGTGAATATTTAAAAAAATTTAAGTAATTTATTTTTTATTTTTTACTTTTTTAGATACACCTTACTTAGATGTATCTAAATAATAAAATATTTGTGAAAAAATATTTTAAAAAATTAATAAATACACAAAAATATGAAAAACGTATAGAATTTTCATTTTTTTTTGTATTTAATGAATTTTTTAAATATTTTTTTTCACAATATTATATTTTTTAAGTGTATTTATGTTAGATGTGTTTAAAAATTAAAAAAATTACTTAAAATATTAAAAAATTCAGTAAAAATAAAAAGATATATATCTGAAAACGGAAAAAGTAAAATCTTTTTAAAAGATGAATTATGAAAATTGAAAGCATTTTCGGTCATTTACTTGTTTGTTTAGTTATTTGGGTGAAGGGATTTGACCCCGCCTACAAAGGTGGGAGACATTATCAATTTAATTTTCTATTTTCTATTTTCTACTTTTTTTTCTTTTTCATATTTTTCTAAACAAAAATAATGAAAATTTGAAAACAATTAGACTTTTAAAAGTTTAAAATACTACTCAAAAATATTTCCAAAAACGAGTCTTTATAAAAAAATTTAAATGCTTTCCAGAAATAATTTGCTAAATGGCTAAGTTTGGTTTAGTTTTCATAAACTTGTTTTAAAAAAAAAAAATTCTAAAAAATTAAAAATTAATTTGGTAAAAAGACAAAAGATTAAAATCACTTATAATTTTATCTTTTGAGAGGTCATAAATAATTTTATATTTTTTTAAAAAAAATTGATGCTTTATTTTATCAAATTAAATTCTATTTTTATAACAAAAATTCTGATTTTTGTTTTCCTGAAAATCAAACCAAACATCATTCTTGGTTCACAATAAAAACATTTGGGCTTCTGAGTCATTGGGTTAAATGGGCTCTTATCCGGTAGTGACCCATGTCAAAGTTCCCTTTCCTTCAAACAAATCAACCACGCATAGTACCCTCCCTGGTTCATGTCTTCACGTTGTACCTATGTTTTGTGATGGAGTGAGTAATTTTTCATAATAATATTGATTTTAATATTAATTGTAATATTGATTTTTTTATTTTTCATTATAAGAAATAATGAGATTTTACTAAATTTAAACATTCAATTTTATTATTTTTTATTTTTTGGTGATTAATAGGGAAGATACAATGTCACAATTATCAAAAAAATTACATTAAAGTGACTTATAAATTCTGATTTTTGTTTTCCTGAAAATCAAACCAAACATCATTCTTGGTTCACAATAAAAACATTTGGGCTTCTGAGTCATTGGGTTAAATGGGCTCTTATCCGGTAGTGACCCATGTCAAAGTGCCCTTTCCTTCAAACAAATCAACCACGCATAGTACCCTCCCTGGTTCATGTCTTCACGTTGTACCTATGTTTTGTGATGGAGTGAGTAATTTTTCATAATAATATTGATTTTAATATTAGTTGTAATATTGATTTTTTTATTTTTCATTATAAGAAATAATGAGATTTTACTAAATTTAAACATTCAATTTTATTATTTTTTTATTTTTTGGTGATTAATAGGGAAGATACAATGTCACAATTATCAAAAAAATTACATTAAAGTGACTTGTATATGTACAAACAACAACCTAATTTTATTAACCTAACAATGAGAAAAAAAAAAACCAACTGAAACTACAATTAACAAGTCTAATCCTATCACACTAACAAGAAGCTATATAATGGAGAGAAACAACAAACTAAACTAACCTCTAATGAAAAGAAAAAAAAAAAGAAAAAAAATCATTTCTTGTCTTTGTAAGTATTGACTTCTTGATCTCTCAGTTAAAAATGTATAAATATGACCAAATAAGTTAATCCGAGAAGATTAGCTAAGAAGGTTTTACATGATTTACCCATGACTTTGTGACCTAATGGCATGGAGACCGCACTCATGTGCTTGTAAGGAAGAGGCTGGGTTTCAACTTCCTCTAAGAGCTAATCTAGCTACCAATAACTAATTTTTGCCAATCAAACAAATAAAATAATAAAAATTTAAATGATTTTTTTTTTTTTTGGGGGGGGGGGGCGGCTTATTAAAATTTTATATAAGGGTAAATAAAACAGTCTTTATATATAGGAGGTACTAATATAAATATTCAAAAGTTGAGGGATGATAAATCTTCCCCTGCCTATGTCTTATCATATTTTTTTAGTACATGAGCAGGGAGAAAAATCAAACCTATGACTTCACATTAAGATACACGAATTCTGATCACTGGACTAATCTTGATACATCCTATATTTTCTTTTCACGCCCTTAATTAGTTTGTGTTAAAAAAACAAATAACTAATAACTATCTGATATCAGCTCATATATAACTGGATCGTCAATATCGATACACATATTCTGATATATTTATTCCAAATCATACATTAATGCTGCATGTGCAATCTTTAATTTCTCTACCCTAGTGTGATTGCCATTTTTTTTCTTACAGCAATATTCCACTAAAAAAAATATCGTGTAAAATATTTAAAAATAAAATGTGTGAACTAAATTTATTTTGAATATAGTTCATACAACGCTAAGTTTTACATCATTTTGCAACTATTTTTTAGGGTGCTTTTTTTTTCCTGAGTGCTTAGCTTGTCGGCTTTCTTTGAGATGAAGTGGAAATTGTTGTTTGGGGAGTTACTTTTTGGCGAAAATAGTCAAAAAGACAAGTTATCACATCATTCTTCTTATTATTTTTGCACATCTTTTCTAAAAAATCAAAAAATTAATTAAAATAGCCAATGAGCAAAAATGAGTAGTATAGTATTTAAACAAGCTAAGCTAACCAACAAAAATGAAAACTTAGCTTAAGTTCGATCTTAGATCAAGTCTTTCTTTTGAGTATTGTGTTTTCCTCTAGGCCAGTTGCTTACTGTTTGAGACTTGTTACTGAACTGAGTTTTACCAATTACCAAGATAGAAAATGACCTGAAAATCAAGCTTCTTATAGTAGTAAAGTAATTAAAACTTATCCAGCTTATATTTTTGAGTCTTTTTTCTACTCTCCCAATTACTTTTTCATTTGGATATTAGAAAACGAAGGTAGAAAACAATTGTCATTTTATTCAGCTATTTGAAGTTAGAGAGCCAAGTGCGTATTCACACGAGTTCCGAATCTCTCATATGTCTTGAAATTTTTTTGTTTCTCTATCCCAGCCAATTCATTTTAGTTTGAAATTGTGTATTTCGAGTTTGTTACATAATCATGAGCCCAAAAATGCAAAAAAATTATTAAATTATCCTAAAATATCATGCGTTATTGTTTACATTGTATTCTCAACAAATGTTTACATTGTATTCTCAACAAATGTGAAACTGAAATAGATACTAAATATGTCGTTATTTGTCTCTTAACTACCTAACAAATATGAGTTAACATGTGACAATTATAAAAAATTTCACTACATGATTAATTTAGAGTACCACGCTTTTACAAAATAATTATCTAAAAATGCATTGAAACAAAGTGATATTTGAATTTAGAGTCTTAAAATCATATCTTGAAATTTTCATAGTTGGGTATCCTTATATAATCATAAGACTAAGAAAATATTGGGACAAAGAATATATATATTTTAATTAAAATTTTCATTAAACTAAACTATAGGATAAAGATAATGTGCAACTAGAATAATAAAAATTATTTTAAAGAAATAGATATATGAGGTTAGTATCCAAAAGTGCATTGTATGAACTACTACTAGTACTATACTATATAAACTATGAACATTAATTCTTGAATTTTTCATCCTTCCTTTATACGAGGTGGAGGTGGAGGTGGAGGTCATTTGACTAACAAGCTGCCGAAGGATGTCGGGGATGAATGATAGGCTGCACTTTAGAGGAAGACAATGACAATGTGGTGGGGTTGTTGGTGGCCCTGGTGGTGGGTCCCTTGTCTTGGGTGGTGGTGGCGGCAGAGGAGGAGGAGGAGACTCTCTCGCAGCGGGGGCACATGGTCAGGGTGGATGCCGGCAGTGGCTCGCAACTGTGGGGAGAGATTACGGTGGGTGGACCCACCTTCATGGCCCTCAGCTCCTCCACCTCCTTTTGTAGCCTCCTGTTTTGTTCTGTCAGGGACCCAAACCATCTCCTCAAGTATTCACATTCCATCTCTGTCTGCTTTAGCTTGCTCCTACATAATTTTGCCCCCCAAAAAAATAATACAATATATATTTTAATCGATTGTTTCACTTACCTACAAATCAATCACAAAATTAAACCCATCAAATCCAAAAAAAAAATAAAAAATGTGGAATTTATGATCATTGTATTATTTTAATTCTTGTAATTTCAATTAGTTTGATTTTGATCCTGAATTTATGATTTTGTCTCAATTTGATCAAATTGATTACAACTCTTAACATTTCTTTACGAAAAATACATACATAAGTGTCATGTGTCATATTTTAAGGACAAATTTATAAACGTGCTGATCTTAGTGAATTAACCTCACCCAATTTAGTGATAATTTTATTTAAAAAACACTAATAATATTATCAATTGGACTAAATTGATACAAAATTTAAAATTAAGTGTTAAAATTGAGACAATTGAAAGTATATAAACTAAAATGATAAAAGAAATAAAATATAGAGACCACGGATATAATTTACTCATAATAAAATTATCCTTCCAAATTTAAGACTAGTGTCATCAAGGCCAAACATACATTGTTGTACTCATACTCATTTAAAAAATTAAATCTATAAATAAAGGTTTTATCAAATATATATTAACACTCATCTGTTTTTACTATTTATCAAATGTAAGACTCCACCTTTACACATATCTCAACACGTTTTTTTTTTTTTTTTTTTTTTTAAGCATGGAATATCTTTTTTAGCATTTTAGAGAAAAATTTTCATACTTTTCTATTTCATTTTTTTTTTTTTTTCAATGTGAACTCATACAAGTTTTTATAAAATTATTTTAAGACCTCATGTAAATTCCCCGTATGCCAAACCAACAAAACCGAACAGTAACATATAGCCAATATCGGTTCCTCAATCATTAAAATTGAAAAGTTCAATTTGGTGTTAAACTTTTCCTCAACACCAACAAAATAGAACTAATTACAACCTCAGTCATTAGTTATGAAACTTTTGATATAAACTAATAACAATTTTAGGATGAGTATATTAAATTTTGTTGCCAACTACTCTAAAGGCATTAATTAATAAAGTTACAAATAATTGTTTATTTTTTTATGATATATAATTTTATAAAAGTGTATACATTTATTTCGATCTTCTTAGCAAAGGACTTTTATGCACTCATTAGAAAAATGATGTCTTATCATATTTTAGTTACCATCTTATGTCACATGCTTACAACCACTAATAGTCTTGTTAATGAATGTTTTAAAGGTATTAAAACTTTCTTCTTCTTCTTCTTCTTCTTCTTCTTCTTCTTCTTTTTTTTTTTTTTTTTGTATATTTCTTAGAACACGCACTCATAAAAAATTATACAATTATTTACTTTCATCTTATTAACAAGTACTTTTAAGATGCCCGTTAACAAAATTAATACAAATGAGTCTTATTAACTAATGCTTAAAAAATTAATTAATAAAATTTAAAATAATTATACAATTTTATGTCATACAAAAATGGACAACCATCCAACTTATTAACAAGTGGTCTTAATATACTCATTGAAATGTATACTCATTTAGGGACAAACTTTTAAAACATCACATGGAAGACCTTTACCTCTATTACTTTTACGCAACCATGTATGAGCACGCATGCACAAAATATGTTGGAATGGTTTATTCTAAAATCAAACATGTAATTATTCAGGAATCCTAAAATATTATAGGTTATAATTTATGCGGCGTATCAAATCAAACAATTTAATAAGAACATATTGATTCACTTTTGTTAAGTAATTACGAAACAAAAAGTTATCCAATTAATATGTATTGTAACTTTTTATTAACCAAAAATATTAGATAGATAATATTATTTCGAAAGCATGTAATAATTTTCAGACCAAATATAACCAAACAAATGTCAATTCTAAAGATTGAATGTAAAAGGAATTTTTATGATAGATCTGAGGGCCACGAGATGAGTTAATGCAATTTTGGGAAGACCCCACTTCATAAAAGCGATCTCTTTTGCTAAGTAGGGTATTTACTATATTTTGGATGTCACTTCATGCTTATTGAGATTGTAACAAATGCATTTTCCCAATTTTCAAATTTCACATTAATGCCTAATGCATCACTCCACTAAATGACTCAACAATTGCATTCATGAATATAATTAAATGAGTAATATTAAAGATTCTAAAAATTTTATTAAAAATTCTACTAAATGTTTAACATGGGTGTAGGACCCGTATAATGTGGGTCCCATGTAGGTCCTACATCCATGAAAGACATTTGATAGAATTTTTGAGATCTGTAATATTTTTGTAATCAAATTATTTGTTCAATATATATATATATATATATATTACTATGCAAACTAATAAATTTATAAAATCATGCCATCCAATAATAAAATTTTAAAAACCGAAACATGACTCTTTTTTTTTAATGATATAAAATGTGTCATATTACATAAGAAAACTTCGGTAATTTATGTAACATTATTTGCAAGAAAAATGTAATGATGATGATATATAACTCACAACAACTACAACTGATCCATAAATTTTACTGACTTATTATTCAACTAACTGCAAAATTCATTTTGTACATGCTTCTCCGTTGAATCAGATTTATCATATTTATTACAAGAGATAAAACAGTAGCAAATTAATAAGTTACATTTAACAAATTTTGACTATAGCTTAATAATTAGTTGAAAGTAACATATAGAACAGCTCTTATAGGGGTCATAATAGGAGGCACATGTTTCTTTTTACCCAAAATTTATGTTTTCAAGAATTCAATTAATTCATAAATTTAATTAATAACTAATGTGTCAAGTAATAAAGAAAGTTTGAATATTTCATTTCAATAATCAACTATGCAACATTTCCCAATATACCATCATCATTTTAACCTCTAATAAGGTGGAAGAAAGAGAGAATAGAGAGAGTTAGAGAGAGAAGGGACGGATTGGGGGCGCTCGATTAGTGTTCCAAAACATTTTCTTCAACAATATAATAGGCATCACATGAAAAAGAAAAAATATATATATATATATTATTAGGTGCACCTTAAGCAATGCTGCATAGCATAATTGACATCTCTCATGTTCTCTTCTAAAATGTCAACATAAAAGTAATTGGCTCTATTATTTTGATCAATAACTCTTTAATTGTAACATCACATAAATTTGATGTAACATTCAACCGTCCTTCTATTTCAACTCAAAACACTTACTATTGTGACTCAAAATTTTAAAAATATTACTGTCACATATTTTGTAAAATTTTATTATAGATCATTTTCTTTCCTATATTTTGATTTTTTTTCTTATAAGTAGTTACAAGTGCAATAGTCACACAAAATAGGGATTTGGGGCACAACATATAAATGGCTCATAATATGATATGGAAGGGAAAATTCTTGAAAGGACTATAATTTTGATAAAGGGACTAACACATGAAGCCAAAGAACACATGGGTCTCAATAGTTAACTTTCAAATTATGCAATATTATCATTATAGTGAATTAGAAGAGTTCATGAGGGGTGTGTGTGTGTGTGTGTGTGATTATGGAGAATAGTAACATATTGACCTATTTTGTTATTTGTCCCTTTCAGTATAGTAAGATACCCATATCCTTCTCATTGCTTTCATGAATAGATATGACCTTAGCAATTGTAAATACATGGTGGCCCACTTGTATAACTCATGAAATTCGCATATCCAAACATAATCATTATACAACTAATCTGATTGTATTTGCAATGCTTTAATTTCTATTGCATTACAGTCAATACATACATATAATGTGAAAATCATTTGTTGTACATATAGGTAGTGTTATACACCAAAGTTGATTCCATTGCCAATCCTTTTTAACTAAAATTGTATATGCAAACTTAATATGAGTGCACAAACAAATGTACAAGTATTACACATAACAAAGGAACATATAGTTCTTACATAATTTTATACAAAATTTTCTTTCCAAAATTATATGTTGGTGCCATTTCAGTAATTAAATGATAGTAATTTTATATATCATTAGTCATATACAATATACACTCCTACAAATGTACAAATATACATAGACCAGGATGTATTCATGATTTTGAATAATACATGTCAACCAATATTAGATAATATCAATAAATAATTGTATTGAAATACCAAAATCCCTTCTAATATTTAAAACCCTTATGTACTGGAACAGATGGGACAAAAAACCGATAGGAACCAGCCGGTTTGCTATGTAGGGCCGGTTTTTAGAACCAGTCATAGGTCAGAAAAACTCATATAAGGTTAGATTCTCTAGCTATGTTTAGTATTTGTAGAAATACCAAGAGTTGGTCTGAGATCATGAAGATATTCTGGGTAGAATCTGATTCAGATTATTATATGCTTGGTAATATTCTATATGCTGTTTAAGTATTTGTTTAATACTAACAACCAACGTCATGATTAAGGGGGCAAAGAAATCATTTCGGTCTCCCAAAAAACACGTAAAAAAGCAAAAAACACAAACACAGACACGAAAAGCGGTACCTTGCTCTACGGTTTTGAAACCACACTTCAACCTGTCTTGCCTTTAGCTGTAATTGCATTGCCAGTGCCTCCTTTTGTTTCTTCATCCACAAAAATTAACAAATTACAAAACCAATCGAATCAAATCATAGAGAGAGAGAGAGAGAGAGAGAGAGAGAGAGGTTTTAGAAGAAATTACAGGGTTCAAGGTGTGATTCTGTCTAAAGCTTTCTTCAAGAAGACGAGACTGTTCTTTTGTGAGACGGAGTTTTTTCCGGGGAGGGCCACCGTCTCCGCCGCCAGTGTTGGTGTCATCTTCATCTAATTCCATGCTAGCAGTTGTCCACTCTTCTTCTCCTCTTCCTGAGGGAGGCAATTGATTTATGTCCAAATCTCTCATCATCCCACCACCACCACCCACCCCTTCTGCTTCATTGTTTTGTTTCAAACCAAAATAAATAAATAAAAATTTGTAACAGAATTAAGAAATGGAGTCAAAACCCAATATTAATTCACAGAAGTTTCGTAGACTTGACCATCCAATCAACAGAAAAATGATATGTAGAGGGAGAGAATAGGAACATAAAGAAAAGAAAAACAAAAAAACAAAAAAAAAGTTTGACTTAATTGAAGAACCATGCAAGAAGCCCAATAATAATAATTAAAAAAAGAAAAAGAAAAAAAAAAAGATCATATCTATGTAATACTAAAAAAAAATTTACTAAAATAATATTAAAAGATCATACCTAATTAATACAAAAGCCATCGCCATGGAAAAAATTTCGACAAAAAAAGACATAAACATCAAATGACCTCTTAAAACCCCAAAAGAACATCAGAAGTAAAATTAGAAGAAGAGAAGAGCAGATTGAGAGAGAGAGAGAGAGAGAGAGAGAGAGGAAAAAATATATATAATAGAAAGAAAAACAAGCAGAGTTTGTTGATTACCGGAGGAAGGAAGAGAGTGCGATGAAGCAAAGCCTGGCATAGATATTGAGAGCTCCAAGCACGTAGAGCTTGTAGGTAAAACCGCAAAGCTACCGACAAAAAGCAAGAAGAAGAGGGGAGGAGGGGGGGGGAGGGGGTTTGAATAAAAGGTAGGTGATGGTATGCAAACAGAGAAAGGTAAAAAATAAAAAGGTTATTTGATAGAGAGAGAGAGAGAGAGAGAGAGAGAGAGAGGTTGTTGGAAAAAAAGAAAAGAGTGGGTAATGGGTTATTGTACTGGGAATTCCCTAGGGTTTTTTGACTGTGGTCGTCAAGTCAAACACTCTGACCCGTCTGATGTAAGACACGTGTCTGCCTCATTACAAAATTTACAAAAACTATTGACCAATATTCTAAAAATTTTATCAAATTTTTTATTAAATATCTTACGTTAGTGTGAGATTCACATGAGACCTATATAGTGTGGGTCCTATACTTATATGAGATATTTAATAAAAAATTTGATAAAAATTTTAAGATGTCTAACATTTTTAAAAACTATTCACTCATGTTTGTTTATCGGCGTGGGTGGATGGGTTCGACCCAAAGTGCATTTGGTGATGATTTGGGATTGGAGATTGATAGTGGAAGAGGTTTGGTAGTGTTTGGTAATATTTATATTTTTTTGTTTATGTTTACAAAAAATTTGTAAGTTAGTTTTTGTTTATTTTTAGAAAACATAAACTATAAACGCCTTTTGTTTAAATAAAATATTTGAAAACTTTTAAAAACATAAACTAAAAAATATGTTTGCTTAGGGCTAAAGTATTTATTTCTTTTTTTATTATTTATGACAATGGGATCATACACATTATAATTGAAAAAAAAAATTAATTAAAAAAATTAATTTTAAAAAAAAAATTATTAAGAAAATTAATTGAAAAAAAATTAATTGAAAAAATATTATTTGAAAAAAGAAATTAATTAAATTAAAATTAATTGAAAAAATAAATTTGTTGATAAAATTTTTAAATTTTTGCTTAAAAACCAACGTAAACTCATTTTTGTGTTTATTTTTTTTCTCAAATTTATACACTGAGACAACTATTTATAAACCAAAAAAATCATTAAACAAGTTTTTATGACAGTTTTTAAAAATTTTGTAAATATAAATTGAAAATAAAATGATTACCAAACAAGCCCTTAGTAATTCCGTTTAGTAGAGGATTAACTTGATTAGATTTTAGGTAGAATTATGGAAATCGTGAACGAATTGAGTTTATTTTATATAAAAATTTTATTTTATTTTACTAAGTGCACCTGTTTGTTTTAGTTTTTTTAATATAGAAATAATTTATTTATTTATTTTATATAAAAATAATTTAACAATTCAATCACTAACCATCTTCCACCCTATCATCAAAATAAATACACTTTTACTTAATCCCTTCACTAACAATCCCCACATTAACAATCTCTTCACTAACTATTCTCTCACTAACAATCACATCTAACCTAATATGCCAAACAAATGTGGCCTTAGTTAGTTAATGTCAAATATTATGTGATGTTATTTATATATTTTAACTAAAAAATAACATTAAAATATATTAACTATATCATCTCTTATATTTTACTTAGGGGGTGTTTGGCATAACCTATATAAGTACACTTGTTTAGATAAGTACACTTATTTAGGTCATATCACCTCTTTATTTTTTTGTACATATTTTCATAGAAAATCAAAAAGTATACTTATTTAGATCATCTTAAATACTCGCTTACTTAATGAAAATGAATTAGTAAGTATTATCATTAATTTTTGTATAAATCGAAATTTTGCTTAAAAAGTGGTATTGTAAGGGTGATTATTTGGTAATCCGGAAATACAATTACATGGTGTTTCATGGTTTTATATTTGGTGGAGAATGTGGAATACTATAATTTTGTGTTAGGTGATTTTGAGAAACATGAAGAAGCATGGTGAATAATATTTACTGAAAGCGTATAGGGACGTAATATTTCGGAAATACTTAATAATTTTCCAAGAATAGCCAAGGGATAAAAATTATTAAGGGTGTGTTTGGTAACGTTTATGTTTTCAGTTTATATTTACAAAAAATTTATAAACTGGTTTTTGTTTATTTTTTGTTTATCTTTAGAAAAACATAAACTACAAATGCGTTTGGTAATTGACAAAATGTTTTAAAAAATTTCAAAATATAAAAAAGAGTGAGAAATGGCAAGTGGTGGCAAGTGGCGGCGAGTGGCGGCGGAAGACAGTGGTAGAAAGTGGTAACGGTGGGTGGTGGGTAGCTGGTGGTGGTGGGTGGTGGCGAGTGGGTGGTGGTGGTGGGTAGGTGGGTGACGGTGGTGGGTGGTAGCGATAATTAAAAAAATTAATTTTAAAAAAAAAATTATTTGAAAAAAAAATTAATTGAAAAAAAAAATTATTTGAAAAGAAAATTAATTGAAAAAAATATTATTCAAAAAAAGAAATTAATTGAAATTGAAAAAATAAATTTGTTAATAAAATTTTTAAATATCTGCTTAAAAACCAACGTAAACTCATTTTTTGAGTTTACAGTTTTTTTCCTCAAATTTATACACTGAGACAACTATTTATAAACTAAAAAAATCATCAAACAAGTTTTTATGACAGTTTTTAAAATTTTTGTAAATATAAATTGAAAATAAAATGGTTACCAAACAAGCCCTTAGTAATTCCGTTTAGTAGGGGATTAACTTGATTAGATTTTAGGTAGAATTATGAAAATAGTGAATGAATTGAGTTTATTTTATATAAAAATTTTATTTTATTTTACTAAGTGCACCTGTTTGTTTTAGTTTTTTTAATATAGAAATAATTTATTTATTTATTTTATATAAAAATAATTTAACAATCCAATCACTAACCATCTTCCACCCTATCATCAAAATAAATACATTTTTACTTAATCCTCTCACTAACAATCCCTATGTTAACAATCTTTTCACTAACTATTCTCTCACTAACAATCACAACTAACCTAATCTACCAAACAAATGTGGCCTTAGTTAGTTTGCAATGAGGATTTTTTTTTTTGAACAGCAACGAAATCTTTATTGATGAAACCAGCAAGCGGGAATATTACATCAATAAAGAGGAGCTTGGTGCTAAGAAGCACCAAGCGCCAGTTGGCCTTAGTTAGTTAATGTCAAATATTATGTGATGTTATTTATATATTTTAACTAAAAAATAACATTAAAATATATTAACTATATCATCTCTTATATTTTACTTAGGGGGTGTTTGGCATAACCTATATAAGTACACTTATTCAGATAAATACACTTATTTAGGTCATATCACCTCTTTATTTTTTTGTACATACTTTCATAGAAAATCAAAAAGTATACTTATTTAGATCATCTTAAATACCCGCTTACTTAATGAAAATGAATTAGTAAGTATTATCATTAATTTTTGTATAAATCGAAAATTTACTTAAAAAGTGGTATTGTAAGTGAGAGGGTGAACTGTGATCTGGAGTTGGGCCGAGGTAACGGCCGAGCAAGTTAAGGGCCCAACGGTGCATGGGTCCGAGATGATCGACTTTTTGCCCAAAATGGGCTACCAGAACTTGGGCCGGGCAGAGTTCGGGCTGAGTGTCACCCCGGACCGGATAGAAACTGCTCGATAAGGCAGTGCTCGGTCGAACCAGGATGCTCGGTCCGAGGATGGCCAAAGCCGGATTGGCCGAGTGACCGGCGCCCAGGAAGGCGTGGACAACTGAAGAAGTTGAGTGGCCAGTGCCCGGAAAGGCGTGGTCAGCCGAGGAAACTGTATGACCGGCAGGAAGGCCGATCAAAGTAAGTATTCGGGCTAGGCTCGGCCGGGATGCCGCTTAGCCCGGTCCTCCGTGTGTTTATCCGGTTAGGCGCTTGAAGTATGAAGCATGGTATGACCGAGGTAGGGCAGCTTGGCTGCCGAGCTCCAGCTGTGATGACAGGCAGTTGAGATTAGGTATTGAATGGCATGGTTTATGCTGACAGATGAGATAGCAGAGCCACGTGTCAGGAGATGACAGGGAGTGGATATGGGGGTCAGTAGGTATATAAGCATGTCTGCGCCCCCCTTACGCGACACACGATCATCTCTGTAAGAAATCCTTACACTCAAACACTCTCTCCCTTCTCTCTATTCCCTCTAAGGTGTGTGCTAACTTGACCGTCGGAGGGTTTTTCCGGCCACATACCGCCGGGTAGCTCACCGTTATTTGCTCGCAGGTGATCGGATATCGACGGAGCTCGGAAGAATGGAATACGGGCACGCCGGAATATTTGCTCCCCGTACAGTAAGAGTGATTATTTGGTAATCCGGAAATACAATTACGTGGTGTTTCATGGTTTTATATTTGGTAGAGAATGTGGAGTACTATAATTTTGTGTTGGGTGATTTTGAGAAACATGAAGGAGCATGGTGAATAATAATTAGTGAAAGAGTATAGAGACGTAATATTTCGGAAATACTTAATAATTTTCCAAGAATAGCTAAGGGATAAAAATTATTAAGCATTTCTAGAAGGTATTGGCTTCTCTATCATCCTACATCGGATTGGAAAGGTATTGTTTGGCCTAGTGGACCTACTTTTGGATTCTGTTTTAATAATTCAAACCGTTACATTTTAAGATTCGTCAACTATATCATCCCTGTAAAACATCAAGTCAATCAGATAACAGCAACCATGTGTTGAGATTAGTTTTGTATTAGAAAAAATAGACAGTGAGAAAATAAATGATTTGTACAAAATTGATTAAAACACGTGTTTTTCGTTATCCGATCAACTTATTTTTTACAGTTATGATGTACTCGGCAAACTCTAAAATATGAATAATCCGAATTATTAAAATAGGGCTTAAAATCGGCCCAATGGACCGGATTGGATGATCTCCGGTCTCACACCAGTCCCTTTAAGGAACACCACATGATTATGTGTTTAACCAATCATATTTCATTATTTGTATTTTATAAAAGGAAAATATCAAAAAATAAAATTGAGAAGTATAAAAAATAATTGTAAATTTATAAAAGTACAAAACTTATTTGCATAATTTGATGCATAAATAACTTAT